CTCTGGATCCTCTACACACACAAAAGATCCCCTACAGACACACAGTGCACCACACACACTGTATACCCCTCACACACACACACACACACACAGTGCACTCCTCTTACACACACAGTGCACTCCTCTCACACACACAACATGGCTTATACACACTACACCACTTACAAACACTACATCATTTGTAAACTCTCTGGATCCCCTATGCATACTCTGGATCCTCTACACACACAAAAGATCCCCTATAGCCACACAATGCACCCCTCACACACAGTGCACCACACATACTGTGCACCCCTCAGACACACACACTGCCCCCTCACACACAGTGCACTCATCACACACACACATACAATATGCCTTATACACACTACACCACTTAAAAACACTACATCATTTGTAAACTCTCTGGATCCCCTATGCACACTCTGGATCCTCTACACACACAAAAGATCCCCTACAGACACACAGTACACCCTTTACACACACAGTGCACCTCTCACACACAGTGCACTACACACACCATGCACTCCTTACACACACAGTGCACTCCACACACACACATACACACAACATGGCTTATACACACTACACCACTTACAAACACTACATCATTTGTAAACTCTCTGGATCCCCTATGCATACTCTGGATCCTCTACACACACAAAAGATCCCCTATAGCCACACAATGCACCCCTCACACACAGTGCACCACACATACTGTGCACCCCTCAGACACACACACTGCCCCCTCACACACAGTGCACTCCTCACACACACACATACAATATACCTTATACACACTACACCACTTAAAAACACTACATCATTTGTAAACTCTCTGGATCCCCTATGCACACTCTGGATCCTCTACACACACAAAAGATCCCCTACAGACACACAGTGCACCCTTTACACACACAGTGCACCACACACACTGTATACCCCTCACACACACAGTGCACTACTCTTACACACACAGTGCACTCCTCTCACACACACAACATGCCTTATACACACTACACCACTTACAAAAATGACATAATTTGTAAACTCTCTGGATCTCGTACGCACACTCTGGAGCCTCTACACACACACACACACACACACATGAGATCCCTGATAGACACACACTGCACCACCTACACACACTCTATTTCTATATTTCTGACATACACAGTCTGGATCCCCTATGCACACACTAGATGCCCTACACTCAAACACACACAATGAATTCCCTAAACACACACTCTACAATTCATACAAACACTACATCATCTACATACACACACATACTACAGTCTCTATGCACACACTTTCTCACTCTATTCAGTCCCTAGCCATACATATAACATCACAAACACATCACAACTGAAACTGACCAATTTACACAAACACCACAACACAATCGACTCACTCTACACACATGCAATCCCACAAGCAGCCTCCAAACACATGCACAATACACTTTCCTTGCCATTTTGTCCTCTGGTATCCCACCTATGGAGACACCAGAGACAGAACAAATACAGAGCATTTTTCTCATGCTAGAGCTCTCTAGATGAGCTCTGCGCATGGGCTGCCCTGGAAGAACATTGAACCAACATGCACACTTTGAGAGGGAGCGTGTTTACCATTGGTGATGACAAAACGCCACCTCTCTTGCTCCTCCCCACCTTGTCTGGGCCACTGTGATTCAAAAATGCCCAGGCTGAATTTTTTTCCCAGTCCGGGTCTGGCAGCTGGAATAATAACTTGGCCGAGAGAAGAGTTGGTAACCATGGATGTCAAGACCCAGAAGCTACTCACTATAAATGTAGGATTCCATCTGAAATACAGCACCAAGAGACTGTACACCAGCTGGAAGGAACGAGGTCGGGCTTGATGAGTGTCAAGGCCACATTCCTGGATGAAACACAGAGCATCTACAAATACATCATGAAGACTTTGTGTGGAAACAGTGAACCGGTGACCATAACATCAGGAAGAAGGAACATGAAAAGGTGTACAAATACCAAGGACTGAAAAAGTAGCTAGGATGTATGTGGAAAGTGAGGGCAATAGTAGTACCAGTTATGATCGGAGCACTCAATTCAGTTGGAGGAGTGGCTTCAGCAAATTACAGGTGAGACATCTTAGATCCCTATACAGGAGGCATATGCATGCCATTTTTAAATATTACAAAGAAAATGGATTTTGAAGCACTAATCTTTATCATAAATTATGTAAACACTGAAAAATGCATTTGTATTTCTTTATAAGAAATCATATACACACACATACTTGTCATTTTCAAGTATTACATAATCAGTGATACTATTTCCTAGCTGCACATACTGTGCCAAATGCTACTGACTTTTTAGGCCACTATTTATATATGATTTACCATGTTAACATACACTCTTAACAGAGGCATACAAACCAACAGAGATAAAACCGAAATCTGCTTGTCAATGGGGGTGTAACTGAGACAATGATTGATGTCTGCAATCAGTTTCTGCAATCTTACACTTATTTGACGACATTCAGCAATTCAGCTTACAGCATTAAATAAAATGGATGATATTGAATGTGCCCGAGGAAAGGACAAAAACCAATAAACATGCCATTTAATTTTCAACAACCATGTGGTATCTTACCTAATGACATTCTATTTGTCACATTTTTGTTTTGAGAGCTAACTTAAAAATGAGAAATGCCAAAAGGGGAAAAAAAAAACAGCTTTATGTCAAATTTGTAACATTTAGGAAAACATTGTGCATATGTTACTAAAACTATAAATATCATACAATGTTTTTACGCAGGAATAGATTCAAAAGGAAAAAGTTAATTTGTTAAAATATCAGTTTCATGTTTGAGTAGTATTGTGTTTTTTAAGTTTTGTCATATAATATTTAAAGTGTTAACATATTTTTGTTGTAAAAAGTATAATGTAAAACATCAGCAAATAGATCTGTGAAATTTTAGAAGTATAATGAATGTGCATACCAGAATATGTTGTGTATTTTATTCATGTGCTTTTTGATTTGTCTAGAAAGATGTACACGTCACTGAAGGACATCAGTTATTGAAGGCAATAAAGTCAATGACTTACTTAAAATAAGAGTGTTGTGAATCCTACTGCTATGCTAAGATCACTTGAGTCATTTTTAAGGCCAACATATACTAGTTAAAGGAAAAAGGTTTTAGGAACAACTAGACACTTAAGGTTTACTATAGGTTATGCTATATTATTTTTTTTTTAAAGACAAATTTTCATTTATAATTCTTTTTTTTTTTTAATTTGACAATTTTTATTGCAGTTGGGGTACAGAAGAAAAAGGATAGTGAGGGTTGAGTAAAAGTTGTGTTTACATTAGCTTGATTTACATTTTTGAACATACATATGGAATCGCATTTGTGTATATTAACTTTTTGCAATATACTTATACGTTGGATACTCATGCATTTGTAATTAGCTTGGTGGGTCGGAAGAGAGGTATTGCGGTTATCTGTGGTGTCCTACCTGGTTGGTTTGTGCCATAGATTGTTGTTTCTGTTAGTTTCCGATTTTTGCCTCTTTGCTAAATCAACTTTTTTCGTGTGCTTTCTTGTGAGATGACTAACTAGGTTTTGTATAATCCCTGTGTGTTCCGCACTTCATTGGTCATCCGTTTGTGGTTACACTGGCGTATGGTCTGTATTGGTGTGTCACCTGGATGTTTATTAATGTTTCGGTACAGGTTGGGTGAGGACGATGACTTTCAATTAGCTGTCTAGTTATGTGTGTGCTTGTGAGTTGTTGGTGCCAGCATCTATGATCTTCTACTGCCAACTCAACTATTGTCCTTATTTAGTTAATCCCTTTTCCAACACTGTTTAATGTGTGCCTGTTTCTTTGGGGCTGACTATTAATTGTTAACGGTGTGTGTTGTGTTCGTTTTGTTTGTGGTTTCTCAGACTGTGTTCCGTACTGAGATGCTCTCCTAACTCCGTTTTGTGTGTCTCGTGTGGATCTTGTTCTCAGGACTCTAATGCCTGTGGTGGGGGGTAGTGAGTGTACTTTGCTTCTTCCCTTCTTTCCCTTATCTGTGATCTGTGTCTGTATAGAGTCCCGTATAGTCCGTGTTCCTGTCCATTGTCTTGTGTTATATTTGCTGTGTTTCCCTCCTTTTCACGTATTAGTTTTGTTTGTGTCTTATAGCCTTAGTGTGTCCACGTTTGATTGCATGACTACTTGCTTCCTAATGGTTATCTAATAGGGTTTATTGTGGGGGCTAGTCCCCCATGGGTGTATAGCTCTTTCTAGCTTCTCTGATTTCCGCTTGGTCACACGCGATGTTAGCGTTTCTATATCAGTTCGTGTCATAGTCGCGTTGTGTGATCCTCTTGTCTCTGTTCCTCCCGGCTTCTGTTGCCTCAGACATCTTTTTTATAGGGTGGTGTGTGGGGATCTTGTAGAGTGAATGAGCAAGAGGGGGGGAAGGGAAGGTATGGTTGGAGGGGGGGTGCTGGAGCGGACACCAGGGCGTGCGGGGGCCCCCGAGAGCCGTGGATCGTGTTGTGATTTGGTCTGACCACGTAGTCTTTGCAGGCCCTCTTGTTGAATGAGAAGGTAGTCGATGCGGGAGTATCTCCTGTGGATAGAGGAATAGTGCGTGTAGTCCTGTTGGATGCAGGGCCCTCCATGCGTCTACCAATCTCAGGTCTCTGAGAGATTTCCGTATAGTCCGAATCGCCATTTGTGGTATGCTGCTGTGTCCTGTCGAGGAATCTGACAGTGGGTCCAGGGGAGCATTGAAGTCCCCTCCCATAATAAGCGTCCCTTCTGTGAAGGTGGCAAGTTGTAAGATTGTCTTGCGGAGGAACGTCGCCTGCTTTGCGTTTGGTGCATATACTGTGGCAAATGTGTATGTTTTCTGTAAGATTGTGCCCTTGATGAAGATAAATCTGCCGTTCATGTCGGATAGCTGGTCGGACAGATTGAATTGTAGGTTGGCATTTAGGAGGATTGCTACCCTTACTTTACGCGCTGTTGGATGTGTGCTATGATAGTTGGCTGGGTAGTGTCTGCTTTTCAGCCTGTGTATGTCTGTAGATTTAAAATGTGTTTCTTGTAGCATAGCAATAGAGACCTGCTTTTGCGCGAGTTCTCGTAGGAGATGGGAGCGTTTTTCGGCCGTATTTAGGCCTCTGCAGTTCTGTGTCGAGATGCGAAAGGGTGTGGGAATGTACGTCATGATGTGAGCGAGGTTATGCTTGAGGTCTATGTGTGTTAGTGTGGTGCCTCGGGTCCAGCCCCCAGTTGTCCCCGCGCGCCCCGGATCCTTGGGTGAGAGGGGTTTGGGTGGAAGGGAAGAAAGGTGTTCTGGGTCGCTCAGTAGGTGTAGTGTCCCTTTAGTGGCAGGGATGTCTTGGGACTCTTATGTGGTCAGATTAAGTCTTGTCTGGTTTTGGCTTAGCTCGGGAGGACTCTGGATGTCTGATCCCACCAATGTGGTCATTTATAATTCATATTCAATGCTTAAGTGAACTGGCACAACCAGAGCATGCAATGCAAATTAAATTAAAAGAATGCTGCTGTATACATAAGCTTCATGAGGACACATGTCCATTGTGGTATTAAAATACCAATAATAGTAAAATGCAATCTCTCTTGTCCGTCTACTTCAACAAATATTTATTAAGAGGCAAACACTATGCAACATACAAGTAAATTACAGACAAATCAATCAGAGCACAAAACACAGTATTTACAAATAAACAGACAAACCCCCATTAGATTTCACCCACAGCAAGACTTCACACAGGAGCAAGAGAGAGGGAAAGGAAGTGTGCAGGTATATTTAATTCATGCCCTGTGACCTCACTTAAGGTGTTGACTGAGTTTAGCTTAATAACATATGAAAAGCTAAGTAGGGCAGATATCCTAACTTACAACATTTGTGTGACAAGATATCACCACATACACCACTTTAAAAGAAATTGACTAATTTGTATACACTGATCTGGCATTTTTCAACAGATTTTTGAATGTGTTGAGCAAATACGTTTGTTTAACATTTTGTTTTTATTATTTATAAATGATGAATATTTGTTAAGTGGGATTTAAAGTCATAACTATTCACTTGGATCAGTATTAGTTGGTAAGGCAAAGTCACAAACAAGCTGAGCTTCAGAATTATACAATTTAGTGCTAAAGACAAATTAAAGGGACACTATAGGCACCCAGACCACTTCAGCTCATTGATTTTTATGAACTGCAATAATTAGCTACTCCACCTCTAGTGGCTGTCTACCAGACAGCCTCTAGAGGGATTTCCAGATCATTAGGCAACTTTTGGTCACCTAATTGAGGAAGGACGTCCTCAAGCTGTGCATGAGGACTTCCAGCATCACCGGAATCCTCATAGCAATGTGTTGAATAATTGTGAAATCCTAATGCGAGTGTGGCCATTGTGAAGACGGACCTGAGCCAGCACTGAGGGACATTAGCCTTCGATCCAGGTAAGTGAAAAACCCCTTCTGCTTGGATGGGGGGCCTTTACACAGGGGGAAGCTAGTTTGTTTTCCGGCACTATAGTTTCCCTTTAAAATATAACTTGTGAAGAAGTCAGGGAAGAGTAGACTGCAGGATAAAAAAAAATATATTCAACTATGAATTTATATTTGAAATATATATATATATATATATATATATATATATAAAAAAAACTAAATAATGGTTGTGTTTGGGATTTTGTTTATAAATGGTTTCATTTCATATAGTTTCAAAAGGGAGGTTACGTGTACATATATGATCTAATTTAGTTACATATATAAGTCTCTAGTATGATTAACATGTTAATGCCAACTACAGCTTGTTTTCCTGTCCGTATGTATTAGTTTACAAAAGTGATTGATATTTCAGTATTAACATTAATGCCTTAATTATTTCATAAATATATATGTATATGCACTTGTATGTGTGCCTAATCCACTAGATCAGGGATAAGCAAGATGTTGTGGACTACATCCCCCATAATGCTCTTACACCCATAATGCTGGCAAAGCATCATTGGATGTGTAGTCCAAAACATCTGGAGTGATGAAGGTTGCCTATACCGGCACTTTTTTCCAATCTAAGCAGTATAGTTTAGATAGAACACACCGAATTAGGGATACTTTGCCAAGGTATAAAGTGTCTAAGACAATACATTATTTCTGTTCATTCAAATTTTTTTTTACAATTTCTGTTCATAATTATTGCAAAATTTGCATATTTTTCAAAACCAGATTTTTGGAGGGCTAATTAGGGTACTGTCCTACTGTCCTGGCTTTGTTTCCTGGTGTCCTTCTTTTGGGTAGACAAGGGAAGTGTCCCCAAAAAGTGTAGCACAAACACATAATTAGACATGCACATGCTTTCCTTAGGGAAATAGGACACTGCACACCCTGAAACAGTGCTTTCTGTATATGCTGCCCTCAGCAGGATTGCCTTGTTGATTGGCAGGCAGCCTCACATGCATTTATTCCAGGCTGACCTGACAGTTATTTGTGTGGACACACCGCCTACCTATGCAGACAAGATTGCATCACTGGCTTGCCCCATTTACCACCTCCACCGGATTCCCAAGAAGTGATGAGTATATTTTAATCCCTATAATTTCTTATGCTGTATGCCATTTTGAAGAGAATGTATTTTATTTAGTTATTTTAGTTATAGATGTTTATAACCTTTTAAGAAATATCTCATCTGGATGTCTACGTTTTTTTTTTAAAATTGGGTTATATTGTTTTGTGTGACTAAATAGCGCAGCACTACTTGTGGTGGTACTTTTTACCACTGGGGGATAATTAGGTATATAATAGTGTATAATTAATGCACTTTCAGCACTTTAAAATTTATTTTAAGAGTTTTAGAACTCTATTTGTATTTTGATATCTTAGTTAACTTTCACCAACAAAACATTTAATGTAAACAAAACTCACTTGTGACTGAAGTTGCATTATTTTGGAATAGACACAATTTCTCCAATCTATGAATTTTAAAATAAACATATTTGCATATGCCAAATGTTCTGATATCTACAACAATTCATAAAGAGCAACTAATGAGTTGATAATAGTTCTGTTTTTATTTACCATAAAAAAACACTAAAAACGGGGTTGGAGCTTGGCCACCATCTTGAATGGCCACCATTTAGAGGAGCTCCTGGGACACTGGGACAATTTAGTTCCAAGAATACAGTTTGCAAATTCAATGCAATAATTTGAAGTACATAAATACTTTCAAGAAGAACTACTCATCATGCAGAAGCAAAGAAATCAAGACAAAGCTGTTCCTGCAACTAAAAAAACTGACAAGTCTGCTGTGGGGGTGAGTAAGGGCTTGCAAGTTCACTTCCCCTCCCATACCAAGGCATCGCGGCTTATTACTAAAGCAGCCCGGTCCTCAGTATATAAAGGAGACCGGGCTGAAGATGAGGGGGCGGGTGGCGGGAAGTCCCATTCCCTGTCATGGTCCTCGGCCATCACGGCGGTCAGACATGGGGGGGGGGGCTCTGCTACTCGTTCTTCTCTCACCACAGATGCTGACAGGGCTACACAGAGCCCTGATGAAACAGACATGGAGGATGCTTCTAACATTATAACACAAACTCCATTGCAACAAAGAGATAGAAAATTGAATACCACCAAGATGGATGATTTTAATGAGTCAGCAATTGCCTCAACCAAGATGACCACCACTTCTACATAGATGGAAGAGATGGAAGCTGCCACTTTCAAGATGGCCCATGCAGGATTTAAAACAATGACTTACAATCCAACTATGCCACTTGAGATGGCAGAAGATTTGCCGCCATCAGCTGGCATGATAATACAGTTCATCCAAAATGTAAGAGTGGACTTAAAAAATGATTTTAAAAAGGACTTTGTTATGTTATGTATGGAGCCATGGAAAATATTGGCCAACGTACAGAAGAGGTAGAGCATAGACTGCATGCCCAGGAAAAATCCCACCAGGACTTGGTTAATACTGTGAAAGAGCGCCAACTACAAGTTAACCAACAAGCAGGAAAAGTGGCAGATGCTGAGGATAGAAGCAGGCGCAATAACTTGAGGATCAGGGGGATTCCTGACACCATTGATGCCCCAGAATTATTTAACTTTTTCCAGGCAATGGTTAAGACAACTTTACCAAGAGCTACCAACCTGGACAGAATCCACAGGCTGCTTAAGCCTACCAAAGCACCCGCAGCCGCGCCCAAAGATGTAATAGTGAGATTCCACTTTTATCACCTAAAGGAGAAATTTTTGGGTGCGATACGAGCATCTGTCCTCTCTGAGTTATATAGAAACATAAAAGTATTTCTAGACTTCTCGGCCTACACAATGAGGCGTCGCAGGGAGTTCCAGCCTTTTACAGCTGAATTAAGGCAGAGAGGGATACGTTATAGGTGGGGATTTCCTGTGAAGGTACTCTTCCATATGGATGGCCATATGGATGGTTACATCACATGAGGAGGGAATGGAATTTCTTAACTCCATTAATAGACATCCAGCATAATCACATGTGCTTTCACCTTCAACTCCAGCACGTACACACAAGAGGAGCAAGGCGGATGACACCTAAGACCCACGCTGTTTTTGTTTCATTCTTTTACAGCTCCAGCTGCAGTATTGTTGGTTTTTGGATTATCAATCACAAGCTGCTAGATTCCTTACTTTCAGATGGTTTTGGCCTTATCTTATACTAACATTGATTTTTGCTTTTAATTTTTCTTATTGTTCTTTATTACCTGGATCTAAAAGAACCTTATCTTTTGAGACATATCACTGATCCCTACTCAAGTCCTGATATATGCAGGGATAGCTGAGAAATTTTTGCTTTGTTCCCACATTAATGTGATATACCTTTAAAGCAGACAACTTTTGCTATTTTTATGTTTTCTCCCAAAACTATATTCAATAATTGATAAGAATTTTCTTTTCCATTCCAAGTCAATTGAGGTTTTTCTCTGTTCAATTAAGATTTCAGGACTGCAAGGACCTTCCCTTATTTTTATACTATTTGATAATTTTTTATTGCTCACATTGGTTCCCCTTGTCCAAGGCAGTTTTCACTCCCCCCAACCTGGGCTTAACACCATGAGATGGAGAAAAAAAAATATTCTCCCTCATGACCCTATCACTTGTGAAAGGTAAACAATTCAAAGTGACACAGTTTCGAGACATAACTTGTGCAATGTTTGTTTCAAATGCTTTCACTAATTTCTCAATGTATCACCAAAAACAATTCTTGTCTGAAATGTTGGATCTCCTACTACTTCTCTTTTACTATATATTGGGGCTGATGTGTACTGTAGTCATTGCTGCCGCCCAGGGATGGGAGTGAGCGCAGGACTTATCTTTCTACTTCTCTTGAGGTGCGGAACTTCGGGCTCAGCATTGACAGCAGATTTCTCTACATTAACAACGATTTTTATATAGGTCATGGTTATTCAGTTTATGTCATTCAATGTGAGGGGCCTGAACACCGCGCACAAGAGAAAACTACTTTTTAAGGAAGAAAAATCCAACAAATCAGATGTTATTTGTGTACAGGAGACTCATTTTAAAGAAAACAAAGATTATAGGCTTATGTCGAGGTTATTCCCATCTCAATTTCATTGTGCTTATAAATCCAAATCTAGAGGTACTTCTATTTTTTTTTAACAAAAATGTGGCTTGCTCAACAGAAAAGGTAATGGCGGATGATGAAGAGAGATATTTACTGTGGATAGGAAAAATGAATAATGTTCTGTACACGATTGTGAATTTGTATTTCCCTAACTCCGGTCAACTAGGTTTTTTCAGAAAGATAATGGATCTGGTGAATGAGAATTTGAGATGAACTTTTGTGATGTGTGGTGACACAAACTTTGTTATGGATTGCGATTTGGATAACGCGAAGGAAGATTCTGATCAACCCCACAGGACAGATAGTGATAGGTTAGCTGAAAAATGTTCTAAATATATGATTGAATGTGGATTGTATGATCACTGGAGACTGATGCATGAAAGCGAAAGGGATTTCACATATTATTCGGTATCTAAAAACATGTACTCCAGGCTGGACAGATTCTTGATCCAGGGTGCTCTAATCCCTCATATCTTGAAATCCGATATCTTAGACATAAACTGGCTGACCATGCTCCAATCATAATGCATTTGGATGAAATAATATCTTCTACCCCTAACAGACAATGCAAATTAGGCGACTATTTGTTAAACAACGTAGAAAATAGGTTGTCTACAGAGAGGGTTTTGAATGATTATTTTCTGGACAATGTTCCATCTGAGGTTTCTGGCCATGTGACCTGGAATGCGCACAAGGCTGTGTTACGGGGACATTTTATTTCTAGAGCATCTCACCTAAAGAGAATTAATAATGATAATCTGAGAAATATGGAAAAAGCACTATACAATCTGAATCAGGCAAACAAATCCGGCCCCTCACCTTCTTTATCAGCAATGATAGAAGAGATTAAATTAAAGATACAAAAAGTTAATCTGGACCGCACAACTCTTATGGTGAGGTGCCTTAGGAACACATTTTATTTAAAAGACAACAGGGCCTCAACTCTTTTGGCGTCTAAACTCCGACATGTGAAGCCCAATCAAAAATAGCATATTTGTTAGATGACCAGGGACAAAAAATATTTCACCGACTAAAATCAGTGATCAATTTGCAGAGTATTATAGCAAACTTTATAATTTGGAATCGGATTCGAACCTCACCCAGCCATCTGAGACAACAATTAATAATTTTTTTAGATAAAGTGTCATTGCCTCGGCTATCTTCTGATAATCTAAAAACCTTAGAGTATGTCTGGTGAAGAGATAGCCGAGGCAATAAAACTTATGCCATCTGGAAAGGCCCCTGGCCCAGATGGATTTACTATGCTATATTACAAGACCTTTCCAGAAATTTTAATTCCCCATATGACTAAATTGTTCAATTCCTATAAGTCCGGGGAGAAGATGCCAGGAGAGTCCTTGTGTGCTCAAATTGTCACCCTGCCGAAAACTAGGAAAAGTTCCCAACAGATGCCCTAACTTTAGACCCATATCTTTAATTAAAGGACCACTCTAGGCACCCAGACCACTTCAGCTTAATGAGGTGGTCTGGGTGCCTGGTCCAGCTAGGGTTAACCCATTTTTTTATAAACATAGCAGTTTCATAGAAACTGCTATGTTTATCAATGGGTTAAGCCTTCCCCCAAAGCCTCTAGTGGCTGTCTCACTGACAGCCACTAGAGGCGCTTGCGTGCTTCTCACTGTGATTTTCACAGTGAGAGCACGCCAGCGTCCATAGGAAAGCATTGTAAATCTCTCCTATGCGACCTGCTGAATGCGCACGCAGCTCTTGCCGCGCGTGCGCATTCAGCCGACGGGGCGGAATGGAGGAGGAGAGAAGGGGGAGAGCTCTCCGCCCAGTGCTGGAAAAAGGTAAGTTTAAACCCCTTTCCTCCTTCCAGAGCCGGGCGGGAGGGGGTCCCTGAGGGTGGGGGCACCCTCAGGGCACTATAGTGCCAGGAAAACGAGTATGTTTTCCTGGCACTATAGTGGTCCTTTAATAATGATTCGAAAATGTATTCTAAAGTAGTGGCAAATAGACTAGCTAAATCTGATTTGGTATCAGATATTACTGCAGGTGAAAGTTTAGGATCCAGTGATCATCAGTCAGTGTGGTTTAATATAAGAACAGTGACTGAGTCACACCACACAAAAACTAAAGTTTTAGACTTTAGAAAAACAGACTTTTCTAAAATTAGAATATGTGTAGAGGAGTCATTATCAGACTGGAGCAATTTAAATGGAGTCCAAGAGAAATGAAATTATTTAAAAGTTGCACTATTGAAGGCAACAGAAAATTGCATTAGGCTTGTCAGTAAAAGCAAAAAATTCAAGAAACCACCATGGTACTCCACAGATGTGGCCAAAATAGTTAAAAACAAAAGGTTAGCATTTAGGAATTATAAAAAACCCAGAGTGAGGAAGTTTTCAAATCACACACAGAAGAGAAAATAGCACAGTCAGTAAAAAGGGGGACAAAACATTTTTTAGATACATAAATGAGAAAAGAAAAGTAAAACAAGGATTAGTTAGATTAAAAACAAAAGAAGGAAGGCATGTAGAAGAGGATAAAGGTCTAGCTGACTGCTTCAATGAATATTTTTGTTCTGTATTTTCAGATGAAAATGAAGAAAAGGGACCTCAGTTAAGAAAGAGGATAAATGAGTCATTTATTACATGTGAGTTTAAAGAGGAAGAGGTTCTATTTCAACTGTCAAAAGTAAAGACAAATAAGTCAATGGGACCTGATGGTATACACCCAAAGCTTTTAAAAGAGCTTAGTGGTGGACTAGCAAAACCATTAACAGATTTATTTAACCAATTCCAATCATTGTCAACAGGAGTAGTCCCAGAAGATTGGAAGTTAGCGAATGTTGTGCCCATTTACAAGAAAGGTAATAGGCAGGAGTCGGGCAACTATAGGCCAGTAAGCCTTACTTCAGTAGTGGGGAAAGTGATGGAAACCATGTTAAAGGATAGGATTGTTGAACATCTAAAAACACATGAATTTTAAGATCAGAGACAACATGGGTTTACTTCAGGGAGATCATGCCAAACTAATCTTATTGATTTTTTTGATTGGGTAGCTAAAATTATAGATCAGGGTGGTGCAGTAGACATTGCTTACCTAGATTTCAG